GTGTGTGTGTGTGTGTGTGTGTGTTCGTTTATATATGGGATCGGATTTCCTACATCTTTCAACCGATTTTAACAAAACTTCACTTTTTTTTTTGGCAGGTAGTGTTTCTTATTGTCTTGCACTTTTTCTTTATTTTACATTCAGAATGCTTTAAAATTCCATTTACAAGACAATTGTTTATAATAAAATTCTATTCAATCGGTAGACTCATAACGATTGAAAACAATGTTTGTTTGAGTTTGGGTTTGACCAATTCGCAAAAAAAAAAAAAAAAAAAAGAAAAGAAAACTAATTAAGACATGCGTGTCCGTCAACCTTAAGCAATAATCTTTGTCAATTTTATTTTTCAGTCATTATGATGGTCGATAATTGATCTATCTCTTACATCCCCCGGCAACGCCGGGCTCTACTGTTATATATATATATATATATATATATATATATATATATATATATATACTATTGCCATGAAAGTATACATATTATTGCAATGAAAGTATAAAATTATGTACAAAATATCTCTAGCTGAAAGCATCAAATTGCGTTGAATACACATGTATCTAAAGACATAAAATTGTATACAAATATATTTTTAATTTCGGTATTAAATAACCATTGTGGTTAATATACCGTTAAAAAAGGAGCGCCAAGCCAGTTGACTTATGTAGGTTGATCATTAAATTGTTTAACTTTATTGAACCATATATGGCATTCTCAACGGGAGAATCCAGCTCTCTCCCTCTCTCTCTCTCTCTCTCTCTCTCTCTCTCTCTATATATATATATATATATATATATATATATATAGTCATCCACAGACTGTTTAGCTGTATCACTGAATTGGCGTCAGTCGGGGGATTCTACAACTAAGCCGTTGGCGCACGGCAGGGATGAAGGTGAATTTAAGCGTAATCATTTTTTTTCAGTGACTGAGAGATCTCGATTCGATTTACCAAAGAGTCTTGCCTTATTAGCCGTAATAGTCACTGTTTACAAACCCACACTTACTCAACTGAAATAAATTTTTCAGGAGCATATATATTGTCATCCACAGACAGACTGTTTCGCTGTATCACAACTCATCAGTGAGGCTAGACGTCGGGTTGCCTCTAGTTAGAATCGAAACCCGACTGAATTAGCTTAAGAGATTCTACCACTAAGCTGTCGGTGCACGGCAGGGTTGAAGGTGAATTTAAGCGTATTTATTTTTAGATAAATACACAGTGACTCGGAGATCTCGATTCGATTTACCGAAGAGTTATATATATATATATATATATATATATATATATATATATATATATATATATATATATATAAAATGTGTGTATTTAGGCAAAAAATCTCTTTTAGTCATGTATATTATGAATATATCTGAATGTGGACAAGAATGTTGTTGTAGATGTCTCGCAGTGGACGAATGGTTACACATGTGTAGTGTAAGCCGTCTTGTTATTGTAGTTGTCGTATAGCCAACATATATATTTGTTTTCTGCATTCTCTCAAGGGATATTTAAATTGGTATATAATGTTGATTTTACGTAATACATTATATGGTGGTGAGGAGTTATTGCGAATAATTAAATTGGTTGCATTGGTATTTTTATATGTTAGTATGAATTAGATTCGTTATGATATTTTCATCCTGTTTGTAATAAGTATGTATCTGATTACAATATAGTAGTTTAATATATGTAGTGTCCTTTGAGGAAGTACTATATTCTATCTGACGTGTGTTGAGTTTTTTTTATATATCATCTTATTTGTTCATCTACAATGTGGTTTGAGAAGTCATTATTAATGAGGGTCTGCTTGATATTTTTTAGTTCAGTGTATAAAATCTTTTTTGTGGAGGAATTAGTTTATTAAATTCTGTATAGGTGCTATTTTGTAGTAATCTGGACATTCCCTCCTATAGTTGAGAGCGCAAGAGTTTTTGCTGCTTGATTTTTTTTTTATATGGGGAGATAGTAAATGTGTTATTATTTGTGTCTATTAAAATCTCAAGAAAAGGGATTTTGTTATCTTTGTTAAGTTCGTATGTGAACTTGACGACGGAGTTTTTTTAGTTGCATTATATATATATAGTTACATCCGGTATATATATATATATATATATATATATATATATATATATATATATATATATACCGGATATATACCGGATGTAACAACGAAATTTTCCAAATCAGGTAAAAGCAAAATTCTCCATTTGTTAGATTAAGCTTTGAGCCGTTGTATTTTAGAAATGATTGAAGATAGCTTACTTTAATTCTCCGATGTTTTTTATAAAACTATTGGACTCTACTTTGTGTAATAAGAATGCATAATTACTTTCCAAGCTTAACAGAAGAATAGTGAGGAAATCGATCATAAAGGAAAATGACATGTTCATCATTAATTAATCATAGCTAAGGATTAGAAGCTCATGATGGATTGAAATTAAGTTCATATATATATATATATATATATATATATATATATATATATATACAATTCCAAAGTCATTTTCTTACTTATTCAAGATGACCCTCGCCCTCTCTAACCTTCCAAATTTCTCTCCTGGAGTAACAAGATGTCTCACAGGTTTAACGTGCGATTTCATTTTCAAGTTTTTTTTTCTTTTGTTTTTTCACTGCTCTTTGAAGTGTCATAGCTGAAACGCCTCTCTCATATACCAAACGTATTGTGGATTGAGTTTGATCTTTTCTAATTGATCTGTTTAACTCTAAGTTGAAATGATGATCGCTCTTCCTGTTTTGACCTCCTAATCCAAGTTTCCTCTCTACTGTCGTCTTTGTTTTGAAGTTATTCACCATTCTCTTGATGGTTCTTGAATGATCTTTGAAGATGGAAGCCAGAATATGGGTGTTGGCACCATTACTGAATACCTGAATGTTTTTTTTCCTCTCACCAGTGCTCATTTAGGGACGAAGTGCGGGTGACACAAAACGATTTAACCTGTTCTGTTTCTAGAATGAATAACTCGAAGCGTTTTCAGTGATTCTTACGACAAACGCTGGATGTGGGATGGACGATTATGCTGTTACACGATTTGTACAATTTTGCTGTTACACCCGGCATATATATATATATATATATATATATATATATATATATTCAATCATTTTTAAAAAAAATAAGAGTGAAACCCGGAGTTACAAAGTAATATCCATACGACTGAATATGTTTGCTCTATAACTGACATTGAGTACTTTCCAATAAGTACTGCGCATATAAAATAATATATATATATATATATATATATATATATATATATATATATATATATATATGGAACAAGTGAAAAACAATTGCATGTTTATTTTTTGTATTATTCTATTTTAAATGTTTCACTGAATACGAATGTAAAAATACTAGCAATACGCACATATTTGTCTGTATTTCTTAGATAATGTCTTGTAACTATTTACATTGCTCCGACTGCTGGCCTCATCTTTGTAGCCATATTCACGACGTGTCGGCCGTTGTACGGTCCGGCCTTCTTCGGGTGATTGGAATTTCGAACTGAACCCTTTATTTCATCCACCGCGCTGGATTGTTCTAGTTCCGCGTGCCACGCCTTTTTTGGGATATCTCTGTTATCTCCCTTTAACTCAACTCTCCAATTTCTTGTTCGCCACTGCAGTAGCCAGGTATTGAACTCACAACTCTTTGGATCAAGTTACTGGATCTAACCAACGCTTTATCCACTGGGCCATGCATAGAAAGGAATACAATATGAGAACCAGTAATACGACGTGATAGAGAAAAGCAATAATAACAACTAAAATTTCTATTTGCGTTCTTGTTAAAAATTGGTTATTAAGACATTACGTTTATACGTTCCAAAACTTCACACACTGAAGTCCTTAAGAACACATGGCTCGGTAAACAAAAACTTGGAGGGTGGAGTTAAAGGAAGATAACTGAGACTTCCGGAAGAGACATGGCACGTGGAACTAGAACAGTTTACCCCTAGGGACAAAATAAAGAGTTCATTTCGAAATTCCATTCACCTGAAGAAGGCCGGAGCGTACGATGGAAAATGCCAACAAAGATCGAACAAGGTGTATAGTGTAAGCTACACGCACATACTGACAAACTGTATCGACTTCACCCAAATCAGTTTAAAATATTATGAACACTTTCATTACATTAATCATTATAATTTCCTACATTTCTTGAAAAATCAAACTGTATTCCAAAATATAATTCCAACACGAGTATAGCATAAAACACACATATCACCGCAGAAGTATATATATGCACGAAACCTTAGTATCATCTACCAGGTATTCAATTGTGAAAGCAGAATATTTTCAATACACCCAATGAATTAAATTAAAGAGTTGATATGCCGTTAAACAAAGAAATCAATCAATCCATTCTTTCAAGAAGACGACGCCCCCGCTAGATTATCAGCAAGACGTTTCAAGAATTTGCAAAAACGTTGGCTCGAACGAAGAGGTGAAGTTGAGTTCCCCCACCGTGATATACCATCTACAGACTTTTACCTATGGGGAGGGGGGACCCTAAAGAATGTTGAGTATCGCAGAAAACCAACTACATTGTGGCCCTGAGATAAAAAAATTTGAAAATGCATGTGCATCAATCCCACTGGACACTTTGACCAACATTGCTCAAGCAGTAATTCCCCACACAAATAAATATCTGGAAGATAATGGCCACCATTTTGGTCATTTCTTGTGATTGTTGAGTACAAATATGTATTAATTTCTGAATATCTGAATGAATTTAGAATTACAATATCTATACAAGTTTTTCCTTTCCGGAAGTGTGTATATATATTTTTGGCAGATTTTATAGAAATTAGTTGTTATGAAATGGACAAAGTCCGACAATTATTTTAAGACTTTTTTTTTATGTTTATACTATTATTATTATTATTAGTAGTAGTAGTAGTTATTATAAACTTATGATTGAAAAGAAAAAAAAAAGGCGCAAAATGTCGCTTCGTACAATTTCAGGTCAGAATGAATGTCTTCATGTTTTCTCTTGTCTTCGTTTATTTCTAGAATTTATCTCATGCCTGATGAAAGACGATATTTGCAGTCGAAGCTGAGGAAGAAAACTTGCAACCCAAAGTTTGAGGAGAGCTACGTATTCCAGGTAAAGCGTCCATATTTCCTTAAATTATGTCAGGTTAAACAAAAGTTAACTATAAATAGAGTCTGTAATACATTTATTTATTTTTTTTAATCAATTAAAACTCGACAAGAAATGCATTATTAATCGCATGAAATTAATTTAAATACAGTAGAAATCATCATAGCCGAACTGCAGGTTAGTTCGGATATTGGAATGGGTTCGGATACAATGTGGCAGGTGTAATATAAACTATAACTTAATAAAAGACAAAAAATTTAAGCAATATATGAAAAATTGAGTGAATCCCAAAAAAACAAATATTAAATCGTAATGTTTAATGCTTAATAAGTTTGATTTTCAATTGTCTTTCTTATTTCTTTTCTCATTTCGATTATATTTCGCTGTTCAAGTTGTTTCAAAGAAAGGCATTTCTGCAAATAGCGTGCACTTGGAGATTCTCTACTACAGTGCAAAGATTTCTTCATGAATTTGATGACGTCATCAATATCTTTCTCTATTGAGTCCCAGTCTTCATTTTCCTTCATATTCTCACCATTATCGAAAGAATTTGATTCTTCCTCTATTTCTTGACAATTCAAATCATTTTGAAGAGATTTTACATTTGAATTCTTTTGTAATTCATTAGCATCTTCATTTATCCATTCTTTTAAGTCATCTGAAGTGAGAATATTCAGTGGATCATCTTCAAGTGCAAGTTTCAGTGTTTTGTTCAGATTCTACAATATGTCAAATGAGCTTATGTCATTCTCCAGTTTTTCAATAATCTCTAATTTCTGAGGTAACTTGTAAGAATTTCTTTTCCTTTTTCTTCCAGTTGAAGTTTCTTCTGTGTGAGACATTATGGGTTAATAAATTTCAAGTTACTAACAATTATCTGCAAAGAAAAGAAACCTATTAGAATGTAGCATATTATTACAACATCTAAATGTCAACACTGTGAAGTTCGGACTTCTACTGTATTAGGAAGTTCTGAAAAGTCAAGATTGCTCATATTTATAAATCTTCCATATCTAGTGCTCCTGCTATATGTTTGGAGAATCTGGATAAAATCCAAGGAAGAATCTGCAATGCTATTGGTCTTGAACTGGCATTTCGGTTTTAGTCACTCTCCCACCGCCATAATCTAGCTTCTCTTTGCATTTTCTATAAATACGTTTTGTTAACTGTTATGATGTATTTTTGCTATAACATCTAGACTTTAAGAATTTAAGCTCAGTACTAAATTTGACCCCCACCCCACCCGTGTGCATAGGGTGTGCCCCCCTCCGGCCAACTGTACCAACAGAATAATTAGGGAATTCGAGAATGAGTTATTAACAGTGAACTGTTTTCTAGCGAGTTTGAGTGAGTGTGTTAATGTTAATGTGTGTTAATACATACGATGCATATACAGTATGCATACATAAAAATTCAAGCACCGTTGCAAGAAATTTGTTGTCACTATTTCCATCTTCATACTTAGATGAATGTAGATTTAGTGCTATAAATGATTTGTTATTCTAGAAAAGAAATCGACTGGATGACACTAAACGAGGAGACTTGAGGCTTAAGCTGACTAAATTGCTGTCTAATATAAAATCTATCTTTAGCAAACAGGACGCACAAGAATCTCACTAACAGTCATTTTGGGATGAGCTCAAATTTCATTTTGCATTATTATTTCATGATTAAAATGATCAAAGTATATTACAGAATAAACTTTCATTCAAATATTTTATATTTCTACCTTTCTGTTCTCTATTATATATTTTGAAACTATATATATTTAACTGTTTTTTTTTGTTTGTTTTTTTTTTTAAATTTTTCTCTTCCATGGTCGCCATTTTCTTTGAAGGCTTGTTTTGAGACAAAGTTAATGACCTTTTAGGCTTCCTTCACGGAATTGTAAAAAAACTTTGAATATGTAAGAATTAAATGTTACTGGGGATGCACCAGAATTTTAGAAATACCAAATATTGCATGGCCCAAAATCAGTTGAAAAACATTGATATTGTATTTTGGTAGAAAGAATTTATCAAATTAAGTTCTGTTAAATTTAACCGACATAGTTTGGCTGTTTCATTTATATTTTATTTTTCCATTTTTTTTTATTAAAGTTTAGCGGATCCAAATCAGAATTACTGATAAACAGTCCAAAATTCATATTTAATTAAGTTTTTGTTCAACTGGAAGTGTTTTAACAGAAGACGGAAAGTTTGACACAAACTGTTTTTTTTATTTCTTATTATTTTCTCTTTTATGGACGCCATGGTCTTTGGAGACTTGTTTAGAGACCAATTTAATGGCCTTTTTAAGCTATCTTTACGTGAATTTCAGTAAAATTATGAATATGTAAGAATTAAATATTACAAGGAGTCACCAGAATTTTAGAAATTCCAAAACGGGGCGTGGCCCCAAATCGGTTGGGAACCCCTGGGCTTGAGGGAACGGTAATTACATTTGAAACTGTAATTTCTATGGTAACAATTTCTCTTCTCACTTATGGGAATCTCTTCCAAGCCTCTTACTTTCCAGTCAACATCGATCTTCAAAAATTTAATGCCAGTCGTTATCTTCTGTCTTTTTAATACATACTCATTTATAGTGTTTTTTTTTCCTTTTTTTTTCTTTTGTTTACATATTTTCTCACATTCAGTAAACACTTGCGTCAGACTGTTTTTACTGACTTGCTTAGGAGTAGAATGATTTTAAAATTAACCTAAAGTGCCACGACGCATAAAAGAAGACATTTATTGCTGTGCCTACTATACTATTTGATGTGATTTGTCCTATTTTTAAACATCTCATTTTGTTAAACGCTGATGTAATTGTTGTGGATTCCGAGATGAAATCCGGTCTCCAATGAACGACAAACGCAGGAATGAAATATAGCAAATAAATGTATTGACGTAATAATACACTTGGTAATACGGTTAGTAGATCCAGAAATGCGGTTAGTAGCAATAATAATATGCATACAGTCTGGGAAATTCAGTATCGAAGTAGGACTTCCTTGAGTCTACGTACTCGAAACTGTGACTCCTACAAAGCGGTTACCTCCCACTCTTACTCTCTCTATTACTCTACCTCTTCCGACTTCCGGGTATTCACCGGCAGCAGTACAGATACACACTGGTCGAGTCCACTTGTATGAAAAAGGGGTGAACCCCATAACAGTAATCTTAGTTGTGCGGGTGGTGTAATGGATAATGGCTCGAAATACTTAATTCGGAGAGACGAGTTCTAATTCCAGTTAAGTTCGTTAAATTCACTTACGCGCAACTACCTTTGGAAAAGTTTTGACTCCATTTCTTTTCTACCAAGATACGTGTTAATTCTTTATTTAAAAATTCTGGTTTTAAATAGCCTACAAAAGATTGATAAGTCGTAAACACCGAGTCAGTCAATCTATAAATTAAAAGTTAATTAAATTTTATTTTAAATTGGTATCCACGCAGTAGTGTTCGATGGACATTTTTACGGACTGTTACTCTTTTGTATGTTTTTAAAATATGTAGAGCCACATTTCTGTTCCTTCGAAACTTTTCTTACTCTTTGAGGAAATTATCTGGCATTCATTGCCATAAAGCAGGACTGATATTACGGAGCATTAAACTTTTCTTTATTTCTAACGAATTTTTTCTGTTTCTTAATACTTAGATTAGCATTTTGATGGCATCTTTCGCATTAACAATGCAACTTCGGATTTTAATGTCCTCTGTTAAAACACTTCCAACATATTTAAATAGTTTTACGTGTTTGATTTTCGTATCTCCAGCATCACTTGTACCATTGAAACCATCATTATTACCAAAAATAAATAAAATTGCATACAAAATATTTAGATTTCAGCATTAAATAACCCATAGAGGTTGATATGCCGCTAAATAAAATCAACCAACCAAACCAATCAAAATATTTAGATTGCAGCGTTAAATAACCCATAGAGGTTGATATGCCGCTAAATAAAATCAACCAACCAAACCAATCAAAATATTTAGATTTTGGCATTAAATAACCCATAGAGGTTGATATGCCGCTAAACAAAATCAACCAAGGAAACCAATCAAAATATTTAGATTTTGGCATTAAATAACCCATAGAGGTTGATATGCCGCTAAACAAAATCAACCAACGAAACCAATCAAAATATTTAGATTTTGGCATTAAATAACCCATAGAGGTTGATATGCCGCTAAACAAAATCAACCAACCAAGCCAATCAAAATATTTAGATTTCGGCATTAAATAACCCATAGAGGCTGATAAGCCGCTAAACAAAATCAACCAACCAAACCATTCAAAATATTTAGATTTCGGCATTAAATAACCCATAGAGGCTGATATGCCGCTAAACAAAATCAACCAACCAAACCATTCAAAATATTTAGATTTCGGCATTAAATAACCCATAGAGGCTGATATGTCGCTAAACAAAATCAACCAACCAAACCATTCAAAATATTTAGATTTCGGCATTAAATAACCCATAGAGGCTGATATGCCGCTAAACAAAATCAACCAACCAAACAATTCAAAATATTTAGATTTCGGCATTAAATAACCCATAGAGGTTGATATGCCGCTAAACAAAATCAACCAACGAAACCAATCAAAATATTTAGATTTTGGCATTAAATAACCCATAGAGGTTGATATGCCGCTAAACAAAATCAACCAACGAAACCAATCAAAATATTTAGATTTTGGCATTAAATAACCCATAGAGGTTGATATGCCGCTAAACAAAATCAACCAACGAAACCAATCAAAATATTTAGATTTTGGCATTAAATAACCCATAGAGGTTGATATGCCGCTAAACAAAATCAACCAACCAAGCCAATCAAAATATTTAGATTTCGGCATTAAATAACCCATAGAGACTGATATGCCGCTAAACAAAATCAACCAACCAAACCATTCAAAATATTTAGATTTCGGCATTAAATAACCCATAGAGGCTGATATGCCGCTAAACAAAATCAACCAACCAAACCATTCAAAATATTTAGATTTCG